AACTCCAGCGCTTCCGGACTCCGACACCGCTCACAGCAGAAATCGTTTCCCGGTTTGAATTTGGCGCCCGGCGACTCGTTAGCGTCACGTGCCGGTGCGGACCAATAAGATGTAGCAGGGGCGGGGCAGATCGGGCCAATGGACTGCAGCGGCGGGGGACGTGGATGTGCCGGTAGGCCGCGAGGGGCTGCGGCTGGTTGGGCTCGGGCTCTGCGTCGCCCTGCTCGGGGCGTTTGCTCAGCTGGCGCTCGAGATGCGGGTCCCGTTCCGGGAGAGCTGCCTCTACCCAGCCAGGGGCAGTGCCGGCTGGGGGCTCGGGCGGGTGGTCGGGCACTAGCCGCTGGGCAGGCCGCCGTGGCGCTGGTCACCGACCTGGGGTGGTCTCAGGTGAAGAGCCCCGGAGTTACACCATGTAACGGGTGGCGGGGGAGCTCCCGGTGCTCCCTGAGCAGGCGCTGCGTTCGGTAAGCAGTCAGGCTACTGCAATCTTATGCGTTGGGTAAGAGAATGCATTTCTTGGGCAATGTTCTCTTTGAAGTTTCTCATCAGTACTGCTCTGTTTTTGAATGGAAAATTGAATACAAGTCAATGTCATTCTCATTAAAGCTTATTTACTGGGTTAAAAAACCAAAACATGCAAGGTATGTAGAATACAGGAGGGAAATGAGAATACAGGAGGGAAATGTCAAGGATGTTCTGCGTTTAAAAACTCAAAAATTCCTGAAATCAGAAAGTATGGGTAACTAGCTACTAGAAAGGGAAAGATGTCTGGTTATCTCAACCCTGCAATGTATCTCAGCATTACAAGCCAGTTTTATGGATTAAGTTGAAAAAAGAAAACAAGTTTTTCTGACTTTAACTTCCTAAACCATTCTTTGTGACTAGACTAGATATTGAGCTAATGTGAAGAAACAGGGGCTGATAGCTGACTTGGCATAGCTAGTTCATTAGGTCAGTTACTCCTATTCCAATTTTTTTTTCCTTCTCTCCCCACGATTTGAATTTCCTTAAACTTCCAGTAACCAAACCTGTTCTAAATATAGTTGGTTCTGTACTTCAGTATTTCAGTCAGGCCTTATCATAGATGGTTGTCTTTCAAATTTCTTCTAAAATATTTTTATGAAGAAAAATGCCTGAGTTTGCCTGTCTTGTGTATTTTAAATATGTATTTTCATAAGAAACCAATTTTTGAAGCAATGTTGAGTCTTGCCCAAAGGCCAGTTCAGAACTCCTTTTACAGCTGGGAGATTTGTTTTGTCTGTATCTCTCTCCCTCAACATATTTTGCTATCAGGTTTCCTGAAGCTTTGGAGTGTTTATCTATTCTGATGTGCTGTTTTGAACTCTACCTGAAATTTGATAGAAGGCTCAAAAACTACCCGTAGGAAAAAGCCTGCATAGAGATATGTACACTGTACTGTTGTATAAATGTTTCACTTTTGTTAAAAACTAGATCTGAGGTTTACAAATAGGTTTGTCTTTAAGTGTATTTATTTGCCTTTTACAGACTCGAGAGCACTTTAGCATCTCCTTGGGGTGCTTTCCTCTTTCTCCAGTTGGGTCCATCAAGCATCATGAGGTTTCTAAGTCGTTTTGCCATATCCGTTGATGCCACCGAAGAAGAAACTTACCCACAAGGGCAGGAAGGCAGAGCTGGTGTTCCTTGAGAGGCCGCGAGAGGGACCCGTCCATCGCTATGAAACTCTGCTACATTCGGCTGAGAATTCAAGGCGCGTTCCTGCAAAACCTGTAGACCAGAACACCTCTGCTGCCTGGGTTGGTATAGATCATCCTTCCAGCTGTAATGGTTTTCAAGTTTCTCCTGTATGTTTCAACAGAAAGTTGCTGTCTGGGATACTAAAAATTAGTAGCACTGACTTGAATTCACTGCAGCTGCCTAAAGCATAAGTGCTTTTGAGTTGCTTCACGTTCTACGTACAACCACCAAAGCCTTGGTTATTTGAAGGCATGCAACTGTGTGCAGTGTGTACTGGTTATTTGTCTTCTGAAAAACTAATTCTCATCAGGAAAACTGTTTTCTATGACAACTGAAAACCCTGCACATAATAAACATTAAGGGTAATTTTTTTTATTGGCTTGCTGCTTGAAATAACTGATGAACTCTAAATGTTACAAGTTAAAGTACTAGCTGTTTTGTTTAAATCTGACATTGCTAAATTTAGAGAACATAGGCTTTAACTTCAAGATTTTTTTTTCTAACTTGCCCTCTTTTCCATTCTGTGTTTTGAATAGTTTCTCTCCATATCATTCTTCTGATGGGCTCCCTTTCTGATCTGAAAAAATATTGCAGGGACTGTTTGCAGTGTCCTAAGATACTCCTTACATCATGTAATGTAAGACTTTTTTTTAAAGCAAACAGGTGCTACAAAGACAGACTGTTCCTATACAACAATAGTCATCACCTAGGGGAGCTCTCTTTAAGCGTTATCAATTTTCTGTTCTGTTCATGTTAGAGATTGGAAGGGACCTCGAAAGATCATCCAGTCCAATCCCCCTGCCGGAGCAGGACACCTAGATCAGATCCCACAGGAACGCATCCAGGCGGGCTTTGAATGTCTCCAGAGAAGGAGACTCCACAACCTCTCTGGGCAGCCTGTTCCAGTGCTCTGTCACCCTCACCGGGAAGAAGTTTTTTCTCATATTCAAGTGGAACCTCCTGTGTTCCAGCTTGAACCCATTGCCCCTTGTCCTGTCACTGGATGTCACAGAGAAGAGCCTGGCTCCATCCTCCTGCCACTCACCCTTTACATATTTATAAACATTATTGCTGCTTGACTCTCTGCTCTTCACAAAGCAGGCTCAGGAAGCATGGTTTCAAACTCGCATGAAACATTCCTTCGTTCTTGGTGACCTGGAGTTATTTTTGTGATGCCTTAACCTTGAAGTAGAACAAGTTCAAATTTTTTCCCCTTTATTTTTTTTTATATGCTTGAAGCAGTTCACTCTACGGCTTCTGAAACACTAAGTAGAATAACTTCTGTGAATATGCATTCTTTTTGTTTGGAAGAGGTGGAAATATCCACACTGGTACTTAGCTCTTTGATTCCAAACATACAATGATTCTAAAATTTGTTTGGAGCTATCAGCACTGAAACTGTTTGATATTTTTCCATTTGAAAATCCTGGTAGATTTGTAACTTCTTGAAGCATCCCCTGCAGATTTTCTGTCAACTCATTCAGTGGCAACTGATTTTCTCCTCCTCTCTTCTTTGTGTTATCGAAGTTTTTCATACCCTCTTGGCTGCTAGGCTCCTGCACCAGAAAAGCCTACCCTACAAGTTCCCTGAAGCCAGGCAGCCATATGCTTAAAGTCAGTAGTTCACCTATTTTCTTTTAAGTATGTGCCAGGGAATTATTTCTCTCTTTTCCTGCACAAAGGCTTTGCTTTCAAACAGTTCAGCTGTACAGCAGATAATCACTGTCCATAATGAAATTGCACTTAGATTTTTGAGGGACAATGATGTAACTTAGGGATACGTAGTTATCATAACTAGAACCCATTTTGGTGTGCTCTAGGGAAAAGCAAATTGCAGGAACAGAACCTGATTTTTTTTTTTTTTTTAATGATCAGGAGGATAAAGAATACCATAATAGAAGGATTTCCAGGTTTTGAGTAAGTGTAGAATCTTTCAAAGAAATATAGATTGTTGAGCTTTGACCATCTTCTATAGAAAGCTGATTTTAGAAGTGGCTTTTGGGTGATTTGTTATTCTAGAATATAGAGATTAACTGTGTTCTGAATTAAAGATGTTTTGGGGGAATATCCTGCAAGCCTTATTAACATAGTCTAAGGTGATGGAGCTAAGTGGATGTCCTTAAAATCATTTTGTATTGCTCTCAGTTCAACCCATTCAGGGAGACTGAGGATGTAGTTCATTGAATATACTCAGAGTTATGCTAAGACACAGAAAGAAATAGGATCCAGCTCTGAACTGTTTTAAATCTGCAGGGGTTACAGGAGTACACGCCAGTCAGACTTATCTTTAAAACCCAGATCTTGAGTGCTTTTAAAGTTGGATAGCTCACTTGCACCTCACTGACTTTTCAGGGAAGAGTGCCAGAACATGATGTTAAAGTTCAGAGGTATCTCCTGCTTAGCAGCTTGGTTAGTGACTGATATGCCTTGCTGCAGACCAGATTACCCGCTCAATGAACACACTGAAAAGAGATGGCATAGGTGGGGGAGTAGAATCAGGCTGACACTCCTTTGGAGAAAATTGTTTTGGTTATTTTTTTTCCCTTATTACTATGTCTTTCCCTTCAGATGTGCCCCCAATTTGAAACAACTAAGTCAGTGGTGTTGAAAGCATGCCAGAAGAAGCACTGTGGTGCTTACAAACCCCAGAAGCAGGATGCCAACCAGAGTTTGCTTCAAGCAGGAGGAGCTTGTCGAAGAGCTATAGCCTCCAAATTTCCTCCTTTAGATTTTGAGGATCCAGAAGGGTACGCAGTCCACCCCCTGGATTGTCCAAATCGCTTGAGGAAGAACACGCAGTGGTCTCGCAGCCAGCCCAAGGAAGGGACAGCAACAAAAGCCAACATCCAGGTGAGCAGTCCAGAGAACTGCAGAGCAACACCTTTGTTACCTGCTCCCCAGCCTGTGGAGCCAGAAGTCTTTAGTCCACCAGATGTAGAGACTCCACAGGTGCCTTCCATAAGGAACTGGAGATGCTACAGCACGCTGTCACGAACAAGTAGCCATGCCTGGCATCCAGAAAAAGATCTGGCATTTGGTATTGATCCCTGTGGGAGACGGGAGTCAGCAGCTGTACTAGTTCCGGATACTCCAGAGCGTGAGTATGGAGTAAAGGCTACCTGGAGACGGCGACCTCACCTAATGAAATACCTGCGGGAGAGAGGGAAGCTGAGTGCTGTTGACATACTGGTGAAAGTGAACCCTGAGCCATCAAGGAGACAGGCCAACGTCTGATTTAGCAGGAGCAGTAATTTTGTTATGTGCAAAGACACCTCCAAATAGACAACGTGACTTTAAAGGAACAGCCGGCTGACCATCCTGAGGAACACCGCAAAGGTGGGGGGGGGTTTGTTGGGGTATGTTTGGCTGGGCTTCCTTGCGGAACGGGGTGGCTCTGAAAAGTTTTCCAAACGACGTGGCTTCTTGCGGGAGCTGTTACTCCCACCTAGAGGAGGTGGAAAGCGGGTAAGACGCAGGGCCCTGCTGTAGCCTTCGGGCCCAGCCGGCGAGCGCGGGAAGGGG